CGAACACGAACCGAACACGAGCTGTTCGCGAACGACGAGCCAGTTTGACATCCCTAATATTAATATATAAAAATAATATTATATATTAATTATATAACTTATATTATATAAATATACAATATCTATATTAGTATATTACTACTATAGTATATTAATATATTATTATTATTATTTTATTATATATTATAATTTATAAAATTTAATGTTTTAAAATATAATAAATTTTTTATATATAATTATCTTATATTATTTTATATTTCAAACAAGAACGATTCGAATACGAACGAACGCATCATTGTTCGTGTTTGGTTCGTTTAACTAACGGAACGAAAAAAATTTGTTCGCGTTTGTCTCGTTTACTTATCGAACAAATCGAACACGAACTCATTGACGAACCGAACACGAACTGTTCGCAAACAACAAGCTTTTCTGACAGCCCTAGTTTTTCACGCAAGAACAAAATTTTATTTCAGCTAGAATAAACTAAGACAAACAGGGCTTTCAAAAATGGCTCGTTGTTCGGAAAAAGTTCATGTTCGGCTCGTGTTCGATTCGTTCTTTAAATTAATGAGTCGAACATGAATAAATTGTTTGTGTTCGATATATAAACAAACTGAACACAAACAAAGATTTGTTAATTAGTGATCGGTTCGCTTTGGCTCAATATATATATATATATATATATATATATAGATAATTGATGAGTAATAATTTTAAAAATTTTAATTGAATAGAAAGTTACAAAATTTATAATCTAGTAAAATTATTAATCAGAAAAATAGTGTAAAAATTTATTAAACTATATTTAAATTATATTTTAATATAAATAATAGAATTTAAATATTATCTCGACCATTAATATTATATAATTGATTGATCATGATTGTCAAAATAACTTTTTGCTCACCAACAACTCGTGTTCAACTCGGCTAAACAAAGACAATTCTAACTTCATGGCGCTTTATTTGGTAGAAAGAAAATTATTTAACAATCATTTTTTATCAGAAAGAACCTGCTCTTTTCCTCAAAACCAAACCTCCGTTTCCATTGACCACGGCTTCGTGGGCCGACTTCTAAACCAACGGTCAGCATGATGATGTACGGCGATCAGAACAGTACGATTCGTTGACCTAATTGCCAAGTTAACCGCCACTTCTCCTTCCAACCTCTAGAAGCCGGCTGATGGCACGTTCGGCATGACGTGTCCTTTAATTTGGGCTTAACTCTAAATTTAAAATTTGTTTCATATTTATCTACATTTTTTTTTATTGAATTTGAGTGATAATCAATACTAATTAGCAATATATTCCAAATATTGTTGACATATAACGTAATTGCATTGTATTATGAATTTAAGTTGTTTTGTTATGTTAAATTTTAAAATTTTAAATTTTCATATGCAGCAAAGTATTTAATATTTAATCATTTTTATATTTCTAAAATTATAAATCATTTTTAAAAAAACATAAAATATAATAAATATGCAGAACTTGTCTTTAAATAAATAATTAAATTATCATTAATGAGAATTGATTTATTTCTTTGCTAGCTGCTTGTTAAATGATGAATGATTCTTAAAAAGGTGATGTTTTTTATGTGATATAAAATATGTGAGTGCATAAATGTAAGAAATAAAATCTGTGTGAAATAAATAAAATGACACTATTTGTTAAAAAAATATTACATTAGGACTCTGCACCTAGAGTAACGTGCATCGTCCAATGAAATTACGCCACGTAGAAAAAAAAAATCTGTCCGGTAACACAGGGGAATATTCTTTCCGTATTATTCATGTGTTATTGTATGTCATTCAAGTGTTATTGTGTGTTATTCAAGTATTATTGATGTGTTATTGTGTTATTATAGCACCAGAATATTCCCAGAACACAATAACATATGAATAACATACAATAACACCCGAATGATACAGCATAACACGAGGGGAATATTTCTTGTGTTATCGGGATGATCACATCCACAACGTAATTTCATTGGACTTTGCACGTTACTCTACGTCCTGATGTAATATTTTTTCCAATAATTGGGTGGTATATATTAATAAATGTCCCTTTTAAATTTATAATAACCTCACTAACCTTCAAAACAAATTTATTTGGACACAGCAGTCGAAACAATGCTATTTACAAATTAAACACTCTATTTCATCTATTTTTCAAATTATCACTTTAGTATTAAAATTCACAATAAAATCAAAATCTGTATTTCATTTTTATCAAGTTCTTAATGATTTGATTCACGCGTAAATACATTGGTATAGTAGACAAAAAAAAATTCACATAGGTGTAGATTTGTAAATAGTAATGTTTCTCAAGGGCTGTTTTTGTAATTTTGGTTTTTTAAGTAATAATTGAGAAGCAACTGGCAGTCTTTTCAAGCTTAAAAAATAAAATTTTGTTTTTATTTTCCAACCAATCAACGAGCTACACGTATGAGTGCTAGTTATTTCCTTGAACGTCGTGTGCATAAGGATCATATAATATTCACAGCTGCGACATTTCGTTCTCCTGGACAAAACCCGGCTTATTTCTCACTTCCTTCTCCCGTGCGAAATCTTATTAGAATCTAGGGTTAGGGTTTGAGGGTGAGGGTAAGGAGCTGGAGATGGGGAAGAAGACGCTGATCTACAGCTTCGTGGCGCGAGGAACGATGATCCTAGCGGAGTACACGGAGTTCAAAGGAAACTTCATGGAGATTGCTTCTCAGTGCCTGCAGAGGCTGCCGGCTAGCAACGACAAGTTCACCTACAGCTGCGATGGCCACACTTTCAATTACCTTGCCGAGAACGGATACAGTGAGTTCCGATTGCGCCTTTGGTTCTTTTTTGGTTGGGGTTGGAAGGGGGCTTTTTCCTATTTAGAGTATCGCTTCATCGATGGATGTAATTCTTGGTTTGCGTTTGCTGTGGGTTTTATGATTGAAATTATCTGGATAAAACGATGCTTATTATTGGTTTCAGGCCCGAAGGAATTTATTTATCGCATGAAGAAGATTAAGAGTTAATCAGCTCCTTTTGGTTATGATGATCCATCGGACAAGCAGTTTTAATTATCTGTATATTTTTTTGCTGTTAGATGCTAGAAATGTTTATTTTTACTATGATTAATTGGTTTGCAGCACGTTTGACTTGAATTATTGACGCGCATATAGGATTGAGATTGCCTATTTCATTCCTGGACTCATCATGCTGGATTTTGTTCTTCTTCTGGATATGATTATGGCTTATTCAGTTACTTTTGAAGGGACAATCTTTAATTTTTTTCTTACTCATTTAGCCTGTGAAAAGCAAATCATTACATTTAAGAGGTTTTGAAGGAAACTGTTGACTTTATAACTAATACTGACTTCTGGCAACTCACAGCATCTAGCAAAATTTCACCAAAACATTTTTTAAATTTAAGCAAACAAAGGGTTTTTATGTTACAGAAACCTCAAGACGAATTCATGAACTCTGCATCAAAGCAGGATTTTGAACTTACATGACTTTTTAGTCTGTGGTATTTGGTGAAATGCTTATTTTGCCTTCATGAATGGAGTTATTGTATTCTTTACTTTAAAAATGTCTTCTACTGATCTTTTTGTCTTCTTTATTTTCTGTTGATCATATACTTAACATGCATTTCGGAATCAAAATTCTAAAAAATCTCCAGATTCTTCAATTTTCACCAATCATTCACTGTAAATATACATTAAATTCTTCGCCTATTAACATATTAACCGGATTGTGCAGTTTACTGCATTGTAGCCGTGGAGTCTGCTGGCAGACAAATTCCAATCGCATTCTTGGAGAGGATTAAAGAAGACTTTACCAATAGATATGGTGGTGGAAGAGCTGCAACAGCTCTCGTTCATAGCCTCGACCGTGAATTTGGGTAAATTATATTAACTTCTTTCATTTTTTCAAGCTAGAAAAGGTCTTGTTCTTTATATAATCATGGAAGATTTACATACATACTACTCAATTCCTATGTATTTACATATATAACGCCCAAACTTCAATTTTTACACACGTCACATTACCTAGACATCAAAAGGTGTATTTGACTTTTTAAAAGTTAAAATGAAGGTAATCTTGATATGATATGAAATATTTTGGCAGTATAAATGAAATAAGTAAAGTTTAGGTGTTAGATATGTAAATTCAAAGGAGTTGCGTGGTATGCATGTAAATGCCCTAACATATAATGATCTCAGGTCAAAGCTAAAGGAACACATGCAGTATTGTATGGATCATCCTGAGGAGATCAACAGGCTTGCTAAAGTTCAGGCTCAAGTTTCAGAAGTTAAAGGAGTTATGATGGAAAATATTGAGAAGGTAATAGTCTTCTTCACTAATTTCACTTGTGAATTAATGTCAAATTATCAGTAATGGCTTCCTTCTGGCTTGTTAGAACAATCCCCTTCATTTCTTTCAGGTTATAGATCGACAGGAGAAGATAGATGTGCTAGCGGGTAAAACAGAGAACCTTCGGTATCAGGTCTGCTCTTCATCTTTCAGGGAGTTTTTCAGTCAACAAAATAAAATTACAAAAGGAATTTACATACTTACCACGCAATTCTTATCTATTTCCGTATCTAACAGCTAAAGTTTTACATTTACATTTATAACACTCGGCAAAACATTAAAGAACAAATTTTTTACATGAACCATTTACACTCACAGTCTAAATGTTTTATTATAATTTTAGGATGCATAACAATTTTTATTTTTTTCAGGCTGAAGGTTTTAGGCAGGGAGGGAACCAATTGAGGAGGAAGATGTGGCTGAAAAACATGAAGATAAAGCTCATCGTCCTCGCAATCATAGTTGCTCTCATCATAATCATTGTCTTATCTGTGTGCCATGGTTTCAAGTGCTAATTACAGTTTTGACTTCATGTCAAATTGTCATTAAAATGGTTTTATTGGCTTAAGGGCTTGGTGAATTGTTTGGCTTCACCACCTACATAAAAGTAGAATTACTTTGTGCATTATTTCAGACTTCATAGTGCTTCCTTTCTTAGCAATTATGAGGGAGGGGATGCCTCTGTATTTGGAACTCTTCTTCCTGTATAGTTAGGAAAACAGCTGGTCAGAGAAATAGGATTTGTGGATTCATGTAATGGTTTGTTTTGTTGGATCAATGGCTTGAAGTTGGAAAATATATTTCAAAAGATGTTGATTTCAAATTTTACAAATCCTCCCAAAATTATCTATAACATAATATTTCTGTTCAGCTATAATATGAAATCATTGTTTTTAAAAAAAAATAAAATTTAACCTACAAACAATCAAATGAGCCTTTAGTTAACAATATCATACTTATAGCTATGATTGCAATTTTGATGTTATGAGGGTGCTTTTCTTGTTAAAGTTTGATTGGCTATGGTATGTAAGTGGTGTGATCATTATTCAATTGTGAATTGATGATGGTTGGAAGGATATTGTATCATGGCTTTAAGATCTTTGATCATTAGTTGATGGTAGCAATCAAATTATGTGGATACTATTTAAAGACGAGTTGATCATGGTTCAATCATGATTCATTTAGTGTTTGATCCTCGTTCAAAGTTTGTTTTATAGAGATTTAATTATGAATTATATCTCAAGTTGATGCAAGAGGAAGTACAACTATAATAGATATGACATAGTGCACTTTTTTGTGACAAACAAATAGTCACAACTCAAAGAGCATATTCTAAGAAATAAAATATATCAGTCATAACACAGTTTTGTAATAAGGTTTGACCTGGTTTGATTATGGTTTGACCACGGTAGATACGGCAAAGTGTATTCCAACACCTTGAATTGCGAAAATTGTTTAATCTAAATATTTCTGGTTGATCATGCCGAGGGGATAGAGCTTTGGGGACCGAGGAAAGGAGATAGAGTGAGGGAGGGATAGAGAGAGAGAGAGAGAGAGAGAGAGAGAAAGAAGAGGAAAACTTGTCCCCTTCAAGTGAATCAAATTGTTTCCGTACTTGTTGACCCATTTTATTTTATAAAAAATAGAGGTTATAAGTATGAAACCAAAAAAGCCCATTTGCATAAAAGGGTCATCTTATTTATTGATGAAAAATGATAAAAAATAGATTACAGTATTAATCTTGCTTTAAAAGGGGTTACTGTAAGATATTTTAGTTTTTTGTGTTGGTTTGTATTGTTGGGTACCACATTGACTGCTAGATCAGTCATTCTGGAGTTGTTATGTAGGGAGGAGTCATCGGGTTCTGATGGCCGGTCAAAGGAAAAGTCCTCCGTCGGAGAAAAAGTCATTCGTTGGAGGAAAAGTTGGTCGAGGGTAGCCAATTCTACTGAAGCAGTCTGTAGATTATCTTGAGTTCCGTGTAGATCATTTTTTAGTATTTGTATTAAGTTCCCTAATTTTTTTGCTCGTTGATAGTGATTGTTGTAATAAAGACAAAAGAAAGTTATAAATAAAAAAATCTTGAACGTGTAATTTGCTAATGAAACCCCTATTATGCGGTTTTTGCTCTCAATTCTTGGTTCTTTGTCGTCATATGTTTAAGTGTTTTTATGTCTGGGAGTCCTCGAGTTTCGGTGCCTGGTCAGAAGAAGTTGTTTGTATGAGGAAATGTTATAAGTTGGGGGAAAAGTCTGCAATCATAAGAAAATTTGACCCAAAAAGAAAAAGTCGGTCATCGGGGGAAAAGTCGACCTATCCAAGGGTGGCTGATAGATGGGAGCATACTGCAGGTGCAATTTTGATGGCGGTAACTAGACGAGTATGGCGACATTTTCAGTCTATACGTGATGCCCTCAAGTTTTTTTCTTCTTGGTGACAAAGTTGCAATAAGAATGAAAACTCATAAGTAAATAAAAGATATTCTTTATTAGCCAACTTTATTTAATTTTTTAACAGCCTTTTTATTAGCCTTTGATGAGTAGATTTTTTTAGAAGATTATTGGTTAAATTTTTAGATTTTTTGGATATGATATTTGTTCAGCTCAAGTTTCACCCCTTACGGAGCTTATCATTGTCGGGTGATGAGTTATCTCAAGAATCGAAGATGATCTCCACACACCCCTCGTGGAACTTGTTGTTGTTGGCTGGTGAATCGTTTATGGAGTAAAAGATGATTGTTATACACCTATCGAGGAGCTTGTTGCTGCTGGGTGTCAAAACATCTCAAGGGTTGAAGAGGATCATCGTACACCCCTTGCGGAGCTTGTTGCTGACAGACAGTGAATCCTCTTTGAGGCCAAAGATGATTGTCACATGCCCCTCGCCGAGTTTGTCACCGTTGGGTGGCAAGTCATCTCAAGAGTTGAAGATGATCACCGTACACCCCTCGCAGAGCTTGTCGTTGTCGGGTGGTGAATCACTTTATGAGTCAAAGACAATCGTTGTATACCCCTCGCAATACTTGTCACCACCGGGTGGCAAATTGTCTCTGATGTTGAAGATGATCGTTATACACCCCTCGCGAAGCTTGTCGCTGTCGGGTGGCGAATAATCTCTTGGGCCGAAGGTGATCGTCGTACACCATTCGTGGAGCTTGTCGTTGTCGGGTAGCGAGTCATTTCAAGAGTGGGTAAAAAACGATTGTCGCACACCCATCACAAAGCTTGTCACTGCCGAGTGAGGAATCATCTCTGGGGCCGAAGATGATCACCATACACCCCTCGCGGAGCTTGTCATTGCCGAGTGTGAGTCATCTCAAGGGTTGAAGACGATCGTCGTACACCCCTTGAGGAGCTTGTCATTGCCGGGTGGTGAACCATTTTTAGGGTCGAATATGATCTCTGTATATCCCTTGTGGAGCTTGTCTCTGTCGGGTGGCTAGTCATCTTTGGGGCATAGCGGTCGGGTTATTTTTTTCTTACTTTTTTAAGCCCTAGTTGCTAAGATAGATCTTCAATGTTGGGTTCCCATTTCTATGGGAGGTGGTGGTCCTAATTTCTCTTATTCTTTGGGATGATTGCCGTCGTATCCTTCGCAGAGCTTGTCACTCTGAGGGTAGGGAACCATCCTCAAATATTTTGTCCATTCTTAGCTGGAAGGTCTTGGCTAAGGAGATCATTAGTTTTTTGTTACAAAAGACCTTCCTCAATGTTAATGGCCTCCAGTAATTTCAAGTGTATATATATATAAATACCACACCAATTATATATATATATATATATATATATAGCATTTTCTCAACATTTATGAAGCGAATTATTTTTATATATATATATATATATATATATAATTGGAGTGGTATTTATGTAAATTTTCTATTTATTTTATTTTATTTCTATTCAGGTGGTCAGACAATGGTTGGTCGGCCGAAAACGGTGGACTGGTCGGAGGCAATCGACTGAGTGAAAGTCGGTTGTCGGCCCGCAGCACCTGGACCAGTAGTCGGCTGAGGAGTGTTGCTGGCAAGAGGGTAGGCTATTTTAGGATCATAGAATAATTTAGTGACATGTATGTATATAAATATATAAGAATTGGGTGGAATGTAGGTAAATCCATGCATAAATTGGGTGGTAGGGATGTAAACCTTCCGTCTTCTAACAGCTTTTGCAAAGCGGTTGGTTGGGACAAAATAAAGCCGCAGATTCGTAAACTTTAAATTTCTGTTCTCCATGGTTTCCGATAAGAGCGGAGTGGGCCGGACGGCCGGTGGAAGGTTAATCGGAGGGTGGCTGTTCGGAGAGAGGAGGTACCCGGCCGGAGGTAGATTTCCGGTCGATAGTTAGGTGGTCGGTCGACAGTTGGGTGGGCGGTCGGCAGGTGGGTCCTCGTTTGACTGGTCTTCACCTAAACAATGTTATGAATTTTGAGGGATGCAGCTGGCAGAGGGATTTCGTTGCCCATCAGCCGCATTTGCGAAGAGTGACGCCCCTGCATCTAGGACTTCTTGGTAGCCGGGTGCTCTGTCATCTAAGCACGTGAAAAAACTCGTCTTTTTGTTAAATTGCTCATCTGCTTCCGATGACACCTTATTATCCGAAGAGCCCGCGCGGAGAGACGGTCGGCCGAGGGAAAGCGCAGTGGCAGAAATGTCGTCTTTCAAAACAGCACCGGGGGAGATAACAGAGTCGAGGAAAAAGGTGTCGCGTGATGGAATGGAAGCTCGGACGGCTGTGGGTTGGTTGACAAGTCTTTTTGCTGTTTTGATTGAAGAAATTGGAGTGGGGAGTATTGCTCTTGGGTTGGAAGATGGTGTGCTTGAGTTTTAAGGATAAGTTTGGCGTGCGTGATGGGTCCGTGTTCGATTCGTTTGTTAAGTTAAGAAGCCAAACACAAACAAAAAGAACAAATATTTATTCATTTGTATTCGGCTCGTTTTGGCTCGAAACATTACTTAAGTATACATATATATTTTATGAGTAGTATTTTTAAAAAAGATTAATTGACTACAAGGTTCAAAAAATTTATAATCAATTAAAAGTATTAATGATGAAAATAGAATAAAATTATTAATTTAGATTCAGATAATGTTTTAAATCTTGCCCCAATCTTTAACACATTATGACTACGTGATTAGAGTTGTCAAAACGACTCTTTGTTCGTGAACGACTCGTGTTCGGCTTGCAAAACAAACGAGTCTAACACGAACACACTTTTTGAGCTCAAAATATAAACGAGCGGAACACGAGTTGTGCCTAGCCTCGCTCATGTTCAACTCGTTTATACCCCTAGTTGGAGATCTCTAGATTTGAAAATCAAGAGCATGCACAGATTTATAGGAGAAGGGATAATTCATTATTGTGCAAGTTACTCTTGCCCATTGTGGTCGCGTCTCTATGAAGTGTTTATGGTCGTTATTGCTCATCTATTTGTTGCTGATATGATTCATGCTCAACGTATCTTAAAAGACGTTGAATCTTAATCTATCCAATAGATTATGTCCAAGGGACAGAGTGTTGGGGGGGAAGGCTGAAGGGCTTTTTTTTTATACTGTGTATATTTCAAATTTATTTTGTTAATCATGCTTTTTGCATCTAAAACTTTAATCGAAAGCTATGATAATCATTACTTTGGCTCAGGTTGCGGCCATCACA